GTCAACGGTGGGCGGTAGTAACCTCTGTCAACGGTGGGTGGTAGTAACCTCTGTCAACGGTGGGTGGTAGTAACCTCTGTCAACGGTGGGTGGTAGTAACCTCTGTCAACGGTGGGTGGTAGTAACCTCTGTCAACAGTGGGTGGTAGTAATCTCTGTCAACGGTGGGTGGTAGTAACCAATCTCTGTCAACGGTGGGTGGTAGTAACCAATCTCTGTCAACGGTGGGTGGTAGTAACCTCTGTCAACGGTGGGTGGTAGTAACCTCTCAACGAGAGGTGGTCATACCTTCCATCAATGGGAGACAGTCATACCCTCTGTAGAGTGCAGGCATTCGTACCTGCTGTCCTCCCCAAGCTTCAACAACATGTTGTCTAGGATGTGTCGAGTCTGGTCCTGGTAGTATCCGTCAAACGTCTTCAGCCATCCTGAAACACAGAGCAGCAGTCAGTTCAACCCCTGCACACCTGAGCGTAAATCATGTGACAAGATCATGAAACACATGCCACACCCACCAGGGTCATTGTGTGAGTGAGGAACCAGAAACAGCTCTAAAGGTTGCTCCGCCCACTCATCGCCATTGTACTTAATATCAAAGCCCTGCTTCCAGACACCGCCATCAGGGTTATCGAAGGGCAGGAGGTCATAAACATCCAGCAGCTAACAAACAAACAACAGGTAAACAACCATACATTTAACGTTTGTTTTTAAATACAAATCATTTTGATGTTTTTAAATACAAATCATTTTGAAACAACCCTCCCTGGGCTGCCACCTTATGATGGTGGAGAGGTTTGAGTGTCCCAATGTTCCTGGGAGCTATGTTGTCGGGGACTTTACGGGCCTGGTAGGGTCACCAAAGTCAAACAGGTCCTAGATGAGGGATCAGACAGTTAGTCTGTTAGTATTCATCATAAGGGGTCTTTGGGCTGCACTATCAATGGATTGAGTGTTCCGGGCCCCACTCTGGAGCCAGGCCAGGAGGCGAGCGCCTGGTGGCCGGGCTTTCACCCATGAGTCCAGTCGGGCACAGCCTGAATAAGAGACGTGGGTCCCCCTTCCGATGGGCTCACCACCTGTGGGAGGGGCCATAGGGGTCAGGTGCAATGTGTGCTGGGCAGTGGTCGAGGGCAGGGACCTTGGTGGTCTGATCCTCAGCTACAGAAGCTGGCTCTAGGGACGTGGAATGTCACCTCTCTGGTGGGGAAGGAGCCTGARCTGGTGTGTGAGGTTGAGAGGTTCTGACTAGATATAGTTGGACTCMCCTCGACAAACCGCTCTGGCTCTGGAACCAGTCTCCTCCAGAGGGGTTGGACACTCTTCCACTCTGGAGTTGCCCATGCTGAGAGGCACCGAACAGGAGTGGGCATACTTATTGCCCCCCATCTTGGTGTCTGTACGTTGGGGTTCACCCTGTGAATGAGAGGGTAGCCTCCCTCCTACGTGTGGGGGGACGGGTCCTGACTGTTGTTTGTGCCTATGCGCCTAACAACAGTTCAGATTACCCACCCTTTCTGGAGTCCTTGGAG